CCCATAAAAGACCGCATCAATCTACCTACATCCTCTGTCTCTCCCCCCTGCCAGTGAAACTATGCGAGATATCGCCCAAGCTTTCACTATAAAAACAAAGAACTGATTTACGTCGTTTTAAACAAACAGACATCCTAGGTCCTACAGAAGATGCAAAGTTTATATAAAAGACAATTCAATATATCACCATGCAAGTAAGCAATGATGAGTTGTCCGTCTTCCAGTGACCCCAATGAATCGCCCAAAACCCCCTTCCCTATAGATCTAATGTGCGAACTTAAGAGGAGTACTCGTGAGATATGCAAAATTTGACGAAATTCATGACGTATTTACCGAACTTGCATCCGTTGTCTGGGTTATCATATCTGATCCACCTGGCCTCAGTGGATAGTACTCTTCACTAGCGACAGTCAGTGACCGTGTATCAGGAAGGACAATTGAACCCCTTTTGTTCGGAAGTAGTGAGGAAAGAACACTAAGAGTTAAAGTAAGACCTTCAGACGGACTGTGTCCAATCAGGTTTCCAGCTAATCTATACCTACCAACCCCTAATAGGCAACTTTTTAGGATCTTGGACAGAACCACTGCATTCCTGGGTTGAGTGAAAAATCGAGTGTCCAGGCAAACTTCGCCATCTTCCATGGATGGCCCGAAACATCTTCTCGATGTTATTTCAATGAGTACAGACTGCCTCGCTTGAGAAGCAGATAGATTGGTTTATTCTAAGAATCAGTCTAAGGCTATGGTCAACAATGACCCCCAGCTTTCGTTCGTCTTCTACGCGATGAACTCTGTATACACCACTGTACACGACTGGGCAAACGATTGTTAAGAAAAAGTGGATCTTGGAGGCGATTGAAATACTGTGATGACTTTAAACGCCCTCGGGAATCGAGAAATGTACGATAAGGATTGCTCATCTGGCCCTCAGAAAGAACATGGAGAAAGGAAGTGCCCGCTATCCAGGTGGCCCTCAGTTACTTTTCAGGGAAATTAGGGTTAGTGTTAAGATAAGATTTAGGCTTCAGTTTAGGGTTAAGATAACGGCTACAATAAGGTCTTGTGTTAGGGTTTAGGCACGGGAATATCTTTCCTTCCGGTAAGTTAGCGCAAGGCAACTGTATTCCGGCTAACATACCTATCCCCGTGTTCTGCCGAGGGGCAACGATCCGGCCCACATAATCTGTGCGCATGCTGGATTCAAGCAAACGCACCGTCTAACCCTGTTCTTTTGGCAGTAATTTGTCTCCGGGATAGATAAAACCGTATAATGCTTCCGGCTGACAGCTTTCGTATTCCGACATGGGAAAGCGTGTTGTGGAAACAAACTTCATATTCTGCCGACCTGAGTAGCATAATGTCGGGCGCCCTACAAGTTAACTTTTTACTCGATTTCTGGCAGTTCGCCGAGGTCCGCCGTGAGCCCCATAGCATGATGATGGCAGAGATGGTGACTCGCGCATGAACTAGATTATACTGACAGTAGACTTGCAAACCAGCTATCACACTATCTCCTCCTCGCTCACCCGGGCTCAGTGTTAAGACTGGGCTCCTATGACAACTGGAAGTCTGGTGTGTAGGTCGTGGATTGTCTGTTTCAGAAGAAGCTAACACAAACCCACTGACTTTCGTGGCCGACGCCGACGCCAGGTGGCGATCACATATCGCCCTCACCTCCCAGTGACAGTCATTCACTTCGTGCAAGTGATAGCAATTATCACTCCGCGTACCTGACCCATGACCAACGCTCAAAACCTATGTTAATTTCCTCCCCTCCCCCTTCCCAGCGCAAGGAACTCGACACGCCAATTTTGCCAAGCGGACGTCGTGAATATGATGAGTTTTAATCAAAGGACCCTTATTAACCCTGTCCAACTGTATTAATTTTACTATCCCTGCAATTGTACTAGCCAGATGACGAATTGCTGAAAACCTACGTTTGCCGAATAGACTTCCCAAGTTAAACATATGAATATTTGCATAAAATATGATTTCTTGCATTCATTTGGTGGAAAATCACGTATTTTTTAAATTTTGAACTCAAAGAACGGGAATATTTAGATTTTAAACAATTTTTGAGAACCTACAATGTAAGTTCCAGTAGCCTTGTGTCTGTCCATTCATTAATGCCATTCTTGAAGTATAGAATATAGTCCCACATCAATTGCACATCCATTGCGCACTTGCTAACAGTCGTGAGAGGTTAGGCGTTCGAGCAAAGTGGGGTCACTGCAGAAGTACAGTCGGTGACCGATTGCAGGAAGTGTTAACCGATATTCTGAAATATGTTTTCCACTAGGAAAGACTACTTGAGTGGACAAAACGTCGATTTCAAGTGCGCAGAAGTTTAGCAAGTTTCGCCTGCGTCAATCAGTAGTCGCCGGTAGAGCACTTGTGGCTTTTGTCTACGCCACTTATTAGCCTAGGAAACCCTTATTGGCCCAATAGACAAGCATAGCTAAACCTGCCAATACAAGCGACCATACGAGCCCCAGGAAGTAATTGCGAAAAAGATTCGATCACTGAGACATCACTTTTATTCGCCTGACGTTTCGACATCCATCGCGGACTCTTCAACAGAGACATGATCAGAAAGCAGTAGCAGAAACGGAAAACACGTACATGGAAATTTGTAGTTTTTATAGGACAGAGCCATTACTACACAAGTATGACAAATAACGACAATTAAGAATAATTGCCCTCTTGTGTGTTGATTGCTTGATTATCGGCATGCGGGCGCTGACTTGTTGAACCTTCGCCACGCGTGGTAGAATTGGACGTGATGATTGCTCGACCATCTAGTTTCCCGGTGTTAGCGTAGGACGACGGCTCATTCGACGAGACCCGGTCACACATTCAAATTTGATGAGGCCGAAATTCTAGCAAGAGGTGACAATCGTGTAAGCCGAGAATTACTTCAGTCATGGTTCACGGGCCCTCAGTCCATAAACAAATGCAATGACCTGCCCAATCCATATTCGGTGCTGAGGCCCAGTTTGACCAAAGCAAGTCACAACTTGGGGGACGCACAGGCCACCGCGTCGTCTTACGCCAACACCAGGAACTAGATGGCAGAGCAATCATCACGTCCAATTCCACCACGCGTGGCGAAGGTTCAACAAGTCAAGGCCCGCATGCCGATGATCAAGCAATCAACACACAAGAGGGCGTACTTGTGCAGTAATGACTCTGTCATTACTGCCAATTTCCGTGCATGTGTTACCCGTTTTGACTACTGCTTTTTTCTCATGTCTCTACTGAAGAGTTCGCGACGGACATCGAGACGTCCAGCGAATAAAAGGGATGTTCCAGTGATCGAATCTTCTTCCACTAGCCAAACCTGTCTGAAGTTCTTTCCACGCGCTTCTTGGATGTTGTTATTTAAATAACGTATGGTCAATAACCATTCGCCTGAGAGTTGAACCAAAATTCTGAAATACTTTCTCGAATAGGAAGGAGTACTTAAGTGGGGTTATGGTGTAGATCGTTGTGCGGCATAGTCTATGATATTTTGGACACGTCACGATGTCAGCACTCCTTTTCGACAGCATGAAAAAAGTACGCTCGATAAAAAAATTATGCATATTTTTCTATTGATTTTTGACGTCCAATTAAATTTAAATATAGGTTAGAGAATCCAGACATAAAACTATTTTCTCTTTTACAAATTTGATATTTAAGTGATTATTTGTCAAATTTTGTATTCGAAGGCAGATTGTCATTCGTTTTAAAAAGGTATATATGATATATTCTTAATGGCACAGAAGGATATATTATTTCCCATTCACAAAAAGTGGATGACTTTAGAATAAAATTCCGCAAGTAAATACAACGGCAGATCGGGCTCAAAATATGCGGAAACTAGAAGAATTTTATAAAACCTACCTGCACCCATCCTTGGAGTATAAAGACCGCATAATAAATCATTTTCTAACACATGGGCACAATAAACGTTAGGTTAGGGCATGCTTTCTGTAAAATATATCGGAATTTATAAGGGCACGGAGAATCAATAAGAATACTGCATGCTAAGTAAGTAGTCAGTTTTTTGTTGCGATTTTCACAGGTGGTCGAAAAGGATGCAGCCAAAAGCCAACATCCTGACACGTTCGAAATATCACAAGTTGACGTCGTAACATGCGTTTCGGAATTGCGGTTTACATCGCATCAGATTGAACCTTAATAGTCCTGCCGATAGTCCTGCAGGCGTAGATAGAATACTGTTGCATAGATTTAATTTGAATCCGTAAATGGAATATTGGGTTCACCTAGTCAAGATAAATCAGAGATCCGCAATTTCAACCACCAGAAGTGTAAACTGCAATAGCTATAGAGCGAAGAATACTTTTTGCATCAATATAAAGTTTTCGTTCTAGCTTCACACGGGATAGTTGGCGCAAGCTCTTTATTGCAGAGCCAGCAGATGTTACGCATTCTGACAAGACAATGAGCTCGTGCCACAGTGGGTTAGAACGTTTGACTTCTACTCAGTAGGTCGCCTGTTCAAACTCCGGGTGGTCCACTACCTGAAGTTGGGTATGGCTGCCCGATGACGGCAATAGCCGTTCCAGTCTCTCCTGTCCATGTTGATAATCTCCTTTTTCTGCACGACTACCTGCGAGGACCTCACACTGGGCATATCCCGTTACCAGATCGGTGAGTGCACGTCTAACACGGACATATGTATATTTTGAAGTAAAAATACACCTCCTAGTATATATGCCTTCTAATACGCACAGGTATGTATAAAACAACAGTAAAAGTCACTTGAAAGGTCTTTTTTATGGTTACCGGTTGTTCTCGGCTGAAATTTTATCACAATATTTTCCCAGTAAACGGAATCAGAAAAGAATTTTTGCTCACCATCTGGACGCAAAATG